AGCCTGATGATGGCAGATGAGATTCTGCCGAGACGTTGCTAAAGTTGTTGCTACAGTATACAGAACACTATACAGAAGCCTGATCATCAACAATTGCCCAGCCACATACATTGGACAAACCAACAGGAGAATAAATGCATGCATCGCAGAACACAAAAACGCAGTCAGAAGAGAAGAAAATACTTCCTCCCTCTTCCAGCACCTTAAAGCCACAGGACACGAAATTAATTTCAAAGGAACCAAATTAATATCCAACACTGAACACTCCAGCAAAAGAATAATCAAGGAAGCCATCGAGATAGAGAAACACGCCCATAACATGAATAGACGGGATGATACCTCCCGCCTACCAGACATCTGGAAGTTAGCCCTCACCAACAAATGAGTCCCAGCCACGAAAACCAACACCAGACCCAAAACAACACGGGACATCACAGCCAATCCCTCTCATCAGACCCAGGTCCAAGCCCATCCTATAAACTAAGGACAACTACCATCCAGAAAACAGACCATGGTTGCTTCGCCATTATCAGGCTTCTGTATTGTGTTTGTCTGTGAGTCAGACTTTTACAGTTGTTTCAGTTTTAAATTTGGGGCTAGCCTACTGCTGTGCCAGAATGGTTTTTTCTTCATCCTGATTGGTTGGGAGTCTTGGTCTGTGTTTATTGGTCTTGGAGTTTGCTGTGTTCTGCTTGATTGGTGTTTCTAATATCTTCTGTCTGTTTTGTGCCTTTTTTTGTCTTGATTGGCTGGCAACATTGTGTTCCTGTATTGGAGGCTTTTAGTGCAGCTTGGCTCCGAGTAAATGGACGACTATCATTTATTAGGAAGCTAGGTTTCATCTGGGTGCCTGGTTGGGGTGTGTTTGAGCTGGAGGTATCAGGGGCGATCTGTTTGTGCCCAGGTGCTTGCCTGGCTTGTGGTGTGGAGATTTTTTTGTTTGTGAGTGCAGGCTTCCAAATAATTGACAGTCTGGTGGAATCATCTCTTCTATTCATGCTTTCAGGTCTCTTTTTCAATCTCTATGGCTTCTCTGATAATTCTGTGGCTGATAATTCTGTGGCTTATATATAATGCTGTGCTTTTAGATAATAGGCATATCTATTACCCAAGACTTTGTCTTCAAAGTTGGATCAGATGTAGCAATGCTATGGAACACTGGTAAATCCTTTCCTTTGTCATAAATGCAACATTTGAACAATGTAAGATACTCTGCTTTCTTTGGTGAATTGCATATATGAGACACTATTTTAAAATAATAGTCTACTTTTTAAAAAAGGAATCATTCCCTTTTTCCTCACAGAAGACATAATTTTAGTATATGGAATATGTTTAAATTAAATTCTTCTCCAATATCTAGCTGATTTTTTTTAGAAAAGAAGCAGCTTTAACGGTTTGATCATCATCATTATTCATTTTAATAAGAATTATTAATATTCTTCTTTTAATTTCTTGAATAATTGGTTCCTACACATTATCTGCCCTCTGTTGGGTTTCAGAATAGATGTACTAAATAATCCAGTTGCTAAAAGATATAGCAAAATAAATTTAGAAACAGCCTATTGTGGCATTGATTCTGAGATGAAATATGTAACATTAAAGCTACAATTTGCTAAACTCAAAATATATAATCTCTTTCTCTCGTTCTCTTTCTCTGTCATTGTTAACCATATATTACTACCTTTCTCTCCCTCTCTCTCTCTCTCTCTCTGTGTGTGTGTGTGTGTGTGTGTGTGTGTGTGTGTGAGAGAGAGAGAGAGAGAGAGAGAGAGAGATTATTTGAACAGTTCTACTACATTTTTCTGCCTAAAATAGAACAAAAAATGTCATCCCAAACGTTTTTCCTTAATAAATGATATGGCCCTGAGTACTATACATTAGATGTCATGTCAGATCCTATGTGAGGTTGCCACTCCCATACACCCAGCAAAATCAGTGGTTGTGAGAGCTACAGTCCAAAAGGTTTGGAGGATAGATAGAAGATATAACACATTGCATGCAGACCTTTCAGATCAGAATGTCTTTTCCTAAATCCTGCAAAGGCTCAAGCCAGTTGAGATTAGAAAACATGTTATCGCTAGTGGAAAACACTGAAGGGAAATCATGACTTTCATGCATTTGTTGCAAATATATTTGTGTGCAGGTACTAAGGAAAAACAGGGAACAAGCTAAATGTAGTGGTTAAGACATCAAGCTAGAAACTGGGAGATTGTGAATTCTAGTTTTGCCTTGGGCAGGAAGTCAGCTGGATGACCTTAATCCAGTCATGGTCTCTCAGTCCTAAAAGGAGACAATTGCAAACCACTTCTGAAAAACCTCACCAAGAAGTTTGCAGGGACTTGCCCAGGAAGTCTCCGAGATTCAAGGAAAGCAAAAACCAAGCAAAGTAATTTCAGCCATAAGATTCAAGTTAAAGAATTCATATACAGAGATTTATTTATTTAGCATATGGCCAGGGGTGGCATTCAAATTTTTAACAACCGGTTCTGTGGGCATGGCTTAGGTGGTGGGCGTGGCTTGGTGGTCATGTGACTGGGTGGACATGGCTTGGTGGTCATGTTATTGGCTGGGTGTGACCAACTCAATATCACTCACATCGAGGCACGCATCTCCTCGCCTGGCCTCTCATGACTGTGGGGATGCTGCAACAGTGGTAAGTGTGAAAAATGGTCATAAGTCACTTTTTTCAGTGCCATTGTAACTTGGAATGGTCACTCCACACAAGCAAAGTACCAGCAAAGGAAGGGAAAAAAACTCCAGAGAAGTTCCTGAGACAGGAAGTCTAGTCCCGCCAAGAATCTAATAAGGGTTAACAGAGAGGCAGATTCTGTAAGCAATACCAGAATGTTTCCTTCCTGCCTTCCTTACAGGATTAGGCCAGTAATTTCTTCTAACAACTGGTTCTCCAAACTGCTTAGAATGTTAACAACTGGTTCAAGCGAATAGGTGCGAACTGATAGAATCCCACCCCTGCATATGGCATAGCATACATGGACTAGCAATATAAATTAACATTTCAACTAGAGTAGTAGATCCCAATAAAATATAAAAAAAGATCTATGTTCCAATATCAATGTCTAAGTCATCTAATCATGGGAGCGCAGCACTGTTCATATTTTTTAAAAAAGCAGATACTGAACCGGTATAAGCACTCAGCTTATACCCAGGTCATGATATGATCTACCATTTGACGTGGGGCTCTGCAGTCATCCTGAGGAAGGGGGTAGGGAATACTATGCTGCATATACTGGGAGTCACAGCAGACACCATGTGAGATGCAAATCCTATTGGGGATTGTCTATTGCTGATGTGTTAGTTCAAAGCCTGGCCCCTTTTTTGTGGGGTCATTTATATGTTTTCCCTTTACCTCCCAATAACCCTCACCTGAGGTCACTTCCCCATCACAAGACTCATCACAAGACCCTCACTTGACACACCCACAAGACTCATCACAAGATCCATCACCTCACTCGACACACCCACATCTGACTCAGAAGTAGTATTCAGCAGGTTCTGACCAGTTCTGGAGAACCAGTAGCGGAAATTTTGAGTAGTTTGGAGAACTGGCAAATACCACCTCTGACTGGCCCTGGCCCTATTCTCTGCCTCCCAAGTCCCAGCTGATCGTCTGGTCTTCTTTTGTTGCCCTGCACAGGAGAACAGAGCTGAAAAGCAGGTTAGTGGGATGGGAAGGGAGTATTTTGCAGTAACCTTCCTCCAGGAGTGGAGAGGGAATAGGGACTTTGCAGTATTCTTCCCCTGCCATGCCCACCAAGCCACGCCATGCCAACAGAACCGATAGTAAAAAAAAATTGAATCCCACCACTGGCAGTAACCCTCCATGTCACTACAAAGACAGGGCTTCTCGGGAGAAATCAAGCTATACCAAACCACCTAGCATCCCATAAAACAGAGATCAAACTCAGCAAAGCACAAACACTGGTGATCCAGAAATGATTTTTTTTTCTTTTTTAGTGTACTTCTTTATTGATTGCCCTGTACAGGAGAACGGAGCTGGAAAGCAGGTTAGTGGGGTGAGGAGGGAATGGGGATTTTGCAGTATCCTTTCCTGGCCATGCCCACAAAGCCATGCCCACAAAGCCACATCACACCCACAAATCCACGCTCACAGAACTGAGAGTTTAAAAAAAATTGGAATCCCACCACTGATCTGATTCATCACAAGACCTACTGACCACACAAACCCATATAAACACTGAAACCCTCTAAACTCTGTTGAAGATGTTACCTAGTCTGGTAATGAGATGTTCAGAAACCAACCCACAAGCTTGAACAACAAATCTTCACTCTCATAATGTTAAAGTTGTTGGGCAGATATTGTGCAAGTGCCAATGAATTTTCCTAGATTTGAGTCTTCCTGCTGATAAATGAGGAAGCATGCCCCAGCAGGAGTGAGTTGTACACAGAGATTAATATAGCTCTTACATATAGATTCCTCAGACCCTGAGGAAAAAATATTGCTTTGAGGTTCTTCTGTTACTTTAAATGTTTCCTTGATATTGTGTACTGTCCAGAAAGGGCTTATCAAATGTATCTACAGTGAGAGTGCTTACTATCAGGGGCTTTTTACTCAATATTGTGCATTAGACTTTAATGTTTGATACTAAGAGATTTTCTGATATTCCTGATATTTGATTTTCCATCAGCTGGATCTTGACAGATATAGCACTCACTGGTTATAAGTGACAGCTCAATGTTTTTTTATGTTAAACTAGCCTGTGAAATATGATATGCGGAACATGCACACTCATGAAAATGGATTTTTCATCTAATGAACGTCACATCATTTTGCCCCACACTTTGGCAAGTTCCTCAGTTGTGCCTCCTCCTTAGCTCTTCCTAATGAATATGGCTGCAATTGGTCAAAGACCCAATTACATTCAATTACATGCAATGCATTTGGAAGCCTTAAAGACTTCCAATATTTAACAGAGGTAAGAAAATTGAGAAATAAGAGTGTGAGAGAAAGAAGGTGTTACCTGCAGAAGGCAATCTCAGTGGCTGGCAAACTTCATTTTCACCAGCTTCCTCCAGGGAAATGAACAGCTTCCTGACCAGAGTCACAGAAATAGTCTGCACTAATAGAGAAGTGAGGTTTGATCGGTGTTGTTTATAGCTTCCGTCTTCAAAAAGTTGTCAGGGAGGGGGGAGAGAGAAAGAAAGACAAGGAAAAGAAATTAGTAAGTGACTATTATCAAAACTTTGTTCCATTTCCTGATATTTGCATAGTAGAATTAAAGGTAGTTTAATGGCCACAATTCAGCCCAACATTTCTGTTGCTAAACAAGATAGTTGTTAAGTGAATTTCCCCTCATTTTATAACCTTTCTTGTCACAGTTGTTAAGTGAATCACTGCAGATTTTAAGTTAGGAACACGGTTGTTAAGTGAATCTGGCTTTGACTTTGCTTGTCAGAAGGTTGCAAAAAGGCATCACATGACCCCAGGACACTGCAACCGTCATAAATATGAGTCAGTTGCCAAGCGTCTGAATTTTGATCATGTGACTGTGGGGATGCTGCAACAGTTGTAACCATGAAAAATGGTCATAAGTCACTTTTTTCAATGCCATTGTCACTTTGAATAGTCACTAAATGAACTGTTGCAAATAGAAGACTACCTGTATTGAATGATTAAGATGCTAGGACAATAAAATCAATTCTACAAATACTGTGATTGAATCAACATTTCAGTTAGATGTGTCTCAGCAATTCTTTAAAATTATTCTGACATCAATACGTGTCCATAATATCCATAATAATAGTTTCAGGAAGGGAATCATCATTTCAGCAGGTTTACTTCTGTCACATATCCACAAATACGCCTCAAGTCACATCATCACTAAAATAATTGCCAGAAGCCCACATTTTTAGAACTGCACTTTAGACATTTTTTTCCTAAAAAAAAAAAACTGAAAATGATTCCTTTCCCTCACAAATATTTTACCAACCTCTGGCTGAATACATTTGGCGAAGGGAAGTCCATTCCATTGGCTGGTGCCACTGAACTGTTCTGTCAGGAAATTTGTCCTAACAGCTGATATGTGACTTAAATTCACTTTTTTTGCACTTTGCCATCTAAGAAGACGTTGGTTATCCTCTGCTGTATCCTTCTAAAGGGCTATCCTATTCTCCTTCCACCTTTTCTTCTCAATGCCAAATATTGTCTATCTTGGATGACACAATTTCCACTCTACATATTGTCTTTGCTGTCCTTCTCAGAAGCTCTTCCAATAATGATGGTAGGGGAGTCTAAAGCAGAGGTGTCAAACTCGATTTCATCGAGGGCCCGTCAGGGTTATGTTTGACCTTGGGAGGCTGGGGTGGGCGTGGCCAGGGTGGCATGGACGGCACCACATCACTCTTGTTAGGGGTGCCTGTGGTGGCCCAAGCACTCTTCCAGCAAAAACAGGCTCCCGAGCTCCGTTTTCAGCTGTGACAGCCTCCTGCAGAGAAAATGGAGCTCGGGAGGGCCGCATGCAGCCCTCCTGAGTTCTGTTTTTGCTGGCAGAGGCACTGCAAGCCATCCTTTGCTGTTTCCGGGGTGGCCCCACGGGCCAGATCTAAGCACCCCACAGGCCGAATCTAAAGTAAAGGTAAAGCTTCTATCTGAATAATTTCTTCCAGGGGTTTAACACTCATGCTAAATAGGAAAGCACATTCAATGCATCTTAATCTCCCATAGCGCCATTATTATGGAGTAGACTAGAAGTCTTACAACATGACATCCCTGAATAAATGAAGAGACCTTGACTGATTCTCTACCCCACATAGCATGATGGGTTTAAAAAGGGATCTTCAGGGCTGGAAAAAAAAAAAGAATCAGAGACTCCAAATAGAAAAAAGCAGCTTCAGTCACAATTTGTTTTAAAGTCTCCCTGAGAAACATTCCACAGACAGATTTTAAAGGTTTATTTTCCATCTATATAACCTATACACAATGAAAAAAAAATTAGAGAAGATGTGTTTATCATTGTTGAATAAGGTAAACCACGTATAAACAAGGCTGTAAAAAGGCTTTTCTTTCACATTTGTGTTAAACCTTTTAAATCCTCCCTTGTTATGCCCTAGAACAGTATTTTAATGATGTGCTCCCCCCCACCTCCAATTTTAGAAAAGAAAAAAAATGACTAATATAGAACTGACTTTTAACTACGTTGCTAACAGAATTGTAATACTTTTGAAATAACCACTCAGTGGTTCATTAATTTTTCACCTTAAGCATATTGGAAATTTGACAGTTTTATGCTTTGAATAAGAACTCCAAAAAATCTTATTCTGTATTCTAGGAAAGTATAAAATTAGAATAGAAAACAAAGTATGTTTAGTAGATAAAATGTATTCAGCTGTATTCTAGGAAACTATAACCTATCACAGCAAATCATGAATAAGAGATGTTTGGTGGAATAAAAATTTGGCCCACTCAACAAGTTCAGTCAACAATCTTGGACATCTCCAGTTTATACTTTAAGGGAATACACTGATTTTAGGCTTAATAATTTGGGAAGCAGGAAAAAAAAATTATAATATGTGGTGGTCAGGGGTGTGATTCAAATTTTTTAACAACCAGTTCTGAAGGTGTGGCTTAGGTGGTGGGCGTGGCTTAGTGGTCATGTGACTGGGTGTCTGTTATTGGCTGGGTGTGGCCAACTCAATATCACTCACATCGAGACACGCATCTCCTCGCCTGGCCTCTCATGACTGTGGGGATGCTGCAACAGTCGTAATTGTAATTGTAATTGTGAAAAATGGTCATAAATCACTTTTTTCAGTGCCATTGTAACTTTGAATGGTCACTCCACACAAGCAAAGTACCAGCAAAGGAGGGGAAAAAACTCCAGAGAAGTTCTTGAAACAGGAAGTCTAGTCTTGCCAAGAATGTAATAAGGGTTAATGGAGAGGCAGTTTCTGTAAGCAACACCAGAATGTTTCCTTCCTTGCTCCCTTTACAGGATTAGGCCAGTACTTTCTTCTAACAACTGGTTCTCCAAACTGCTTAGAATGTTAACAACCAGTTCTAGAGAATAGGTTGGAACTGGTATAATCCCACCCCTGATGGTGGTTCTAACACATATGAGAATATAATTTTGTGACACATGACTAGGTTTCAATTTCTTACAAAGGCACTGATCATGTGCTAAAGTATGTTGAGTTTTGCAATGGTTGTGATATGTTTAGAAATCTTTTTTTACTGATGTAATTGGGGTTACTAAACATTTTTTTCTCTATATGAATTTATAATTATTAAAAAAAAATATGTTTCTGATGGGGAAATATGAAGACAATGTTGGAGCTTTTTAAGAGGAGACTAGATAACAATTTGTGTGAAATGATATATGGTTTCCGGCCTGAGCAGAGGGTGGACTAAGAGATCTCCAAGGTCCCTTCCAACTCTGTTATTCTGTTATTCTGAAATATAAATTGTAGATTAACTCATACAGATTCTGTTTCTTCTTGAAAACGCTATGGATAAAGTACAGATACAGAAAAACCCACTAAACAACAGTTCAAGGAAATGATGGACAATTCCTGTCTCCATCTCATAAATCCTGTTAGCCAGGTTGTTGTTTTTTTCAGCATCAAATTTCATTTGCCAAAATTCAGGAATACTATGTTTCATAGTTTTGAAGTGCGTATCTTTATGTGTATTTTAAATCACATCAAAACTAAATTTGGGGAGAAAAATGAAACAATGCCATCCTTGCCTACTTATCTCTGTCAATTATATATATATTTTTTACATCCAATTGAACCTAAAATAAATCCATATTTTTTTTTGATAGTATATCAAAGTGATTCATCCAGATTTAATATCCTACAAGAAGGATTAGAGCTTCTTTTTAAGACTTTACTGAAACCTGAGCTCAAAAGAGAAAATGTAACTTAGAGCATAGATTTGCATCTCTATGGATGATGAGCACTGAAGACATGCCGCATCTTTTCTTGACAGTTTTCCAGCTGCCCATCACAGCTGACATGCAACTGTTAGGTTTAAGGTGTTCCTATGTACACACCCACATATGCTCTAAATTTAAAACCCAGCATGAAGAAATCAGTGTTCAGGAGAAATGAACAGAAGAAGATAGAAATAAGGCAAGTGAAGCTATATATGTTCTAAAGCAGAGGTGGTATTCATCAGGTTCAGACCAGTTCTGGAGAACCCGTAGCGGAAATTTTGAGTAGTTTGGAGAACCGGCAAATACCACCTCTGACTGGAGATTTTATAGTAACCTTCCCCTGCCACGCCCACCAAGCCACACCCACAGAACCGGTAGTAAAAAAAATTGAACCACACCACTGTTCTAAAAAACTTCAAAAGCCTAGTTACTGAAGCAAATGGCCAAATTAAAAGGTAAATGGAAATACAAGTCAGGCGGGGGGGGGGGGGGGGACAATATGGAAAAAAGTCAAAGTAGTAGTTATGGCACCAACCTAGAAAAGAAGACTCTGTGAGCTCTAGTTCCACCTTATAGAGGCAGTCCTTGACTTATAACCAAAACTGAGTCCAAAATTTATGTTGTTAAGTGAATTATGGAGTTTTGCCCCATTTTATAACGTTTTCTTGCCACAGTTGTTAAGTGAATCACTGCAGTTGTCAGGTTAGTCACGTAGTTGTTAAGTGCTTGTCAGAAGTTTGCAAAAGGCGATCATGTAACCCCCCTGGGACACTACAACTATCATAAATATGAGCCAGTTGCCAAGCGTCAGAATTTTGATTATATGACCATAGTGTGAAAAATGGTCATAAGTCACTTTTTTCAGTGCCGTTCAGTGGTGGGATTCAAATTTTTTTTATTACCGGTTCTGTGGGCATGGCTTGGCGGGCATGGCAGGGGAAGGATACTGTAAAATCTCCCGTCAGAAGTGGTATTTGCCAGTTCTCCGAACTACTCAAAATTTCCGCTACCAGTTCTCCAGAACTGGTCAGAACCTGCTGAATACCACCTCTGGTACCATTGTAACTTCGAACTGTCATTAAATGAATTGTCATAAGGCAAGGTCTACCTACATATGAAAGCCAGCTGGGCAGGGGTGGGATCCGACCGATGTAACTACTGGTTCGATGATTTACGATTTGCGTACGCATGTGCATCACACGCATGCACGTGTGTGAATCGTCGTCAGC